ACCGTAGACATTTTGATTAAACCTCACGTTTGTTTCAAGTCAGGTGTAAAACGTTAATGGCGATCATGGCGTCAAGTTAAGATTTCGCCAAACTTGTTTCAGATAACATACATCATCAGTATTCTTGATAAAAAAAACAAATCTGTTCCGTATTTCATTAGTATATCTGATAAATCAGCTACAATTGATATAGAATAATCACCGCTGTGACGTTACAGTGATGTCATTTAAATACAACTGCGGATTTAATATAGTTTCAAGCAAAGTGAGAAGTGCGCACCAAATTGAATGTCACAGGTTTAAAAAATATCGTGTAATTTTACTTAAAAAAAAAAAAATCAGAATTTTTAACCGTTCTATTTTCATAAATTGTTTTACAAAACCGAATGCCCCACCATTCCCCCCCCCCCACGACCCCAAATCATTTAAATACAACTGCGGATTTAATATAGTTTCAAGCAAAGTGAGAAGTGCGCACCAAATTGAATGTCAAAGGTTTAAAAAATATCGTGTAATTTTACTTAAAAAAAAAAAAATCAGAATTTTTAACCGTTCTATTTTCATAAATTGTTTTACAAAACCGAATGCCCCACCATTCCCCCCCCCCCACGACCCCAAGGTCTAGGGGCGCAGTGAGCCTGTCAAAAGCAATTTGGACTCACTGGCAAACGTCTATTTTAACGAACTTTTCTTGCCAAACCTCACAGCTATACTAATTTTTTAAGCACATGCTGACAATGAGCAAACAACAGGTGAAAAACAAACAACACAACAGGTGAAAAACCAACAACACAACAGGTGAAAAACAAACAACACAACAGATGAAAAACAAAACAACGCAACAGGTGAAAAACACACAACACAACGGGTGAAAAACAAACAACACAACGGGTGAAAAACAAACAACACAACGGGTGAAAAAAGGCGCAACAAAGAAGAAAGATAGTAATAGGCCTAAACAAACAAATAACTAACATACTCTACCATTGCTACAGTTTGAATCCCAGTGCACTTCAGTCTAACTGCTGGTGTGCTACAGTTTGAATCCCACTGCACTTCGGTCTAACTGCTGGTGTGCTACAGTTTGAATCCCAGTGCACTTCAGTCTAACTGCTGGTGTGCTACAGTTTGAATCCCAGTGCACTTCAGTCTAACTGCTGGTGTGCTACAGTTTGAATCCCAGTGCACTTCAGTCTAGCTGCTGGTGTGCTACAGTTTGAATCCCAGTGCACTTCAGTCTAACTGCTGGTGTGCAACAGTTTGAATCCCAGTGCACTTCGGTCTAACTGCAGGTGTGCAACAGTTTGAATCCCACTGCACTTCGGTCTAACTGCAGGTGTGCAACAGTTTGAATCCCAGTGCACTTCGGTCTAACTGCAGGTGTGCAACAGTATGAATCCCACTGCACTTCGGTCTAACTGCTGGTGTGCAACAGTTTGAATCCCAGTGCACTTCAGTCTAATTGCTGGTGTGGGAAAACATCGTTTCTTATAATACACTGGTTAAGCAGACAGACTTGCAAGGAAAGCGATTGATTTCTTAAGCCGATAATATCTCACGAAACAAAAGCAGTTCGCTTGAAGAGATTGTTTCTAGCAAGATGCTTTAATATAAGAGAAAAATTGGGCGGATGAGGAAACCCACCCTCATCATCACAGATACATGATACTAAAATCCCACCCCCATCATCACAGTTAATTGATACTAAAGTCCCACCACCATCATCACAGTTGATTGATACTAAAGTCCCACCCTTATCATCACAGATACTTGATACTAAAGTCCCACCCCCATCATCACAGTTAATTGATACTAAAGTCCCACCCTTATCATCACAGATACTTGATACTAAAGTCCCACCCTCATCATCACAGAAACTTGAAACTAAAGTCCCATCATCACAGATACTTGATACTAAAGTCCCACCCTCATCATCACAGATACTTGATAATAAAGTCCCACTCTCATCATCACAGATAATTGATACTAAAGTCCCACCCTCATATTCACAGATACTTGATACTAAAGTCACACCCACATCATCACAGATACTTGATACTAAAGTCACACCCTCATCATCACATATACTTGATACTTAAGTCCCACCCTCATCATCACAGATACTTGATACTAAAGTCCCACCCTCATCATCACAGAAACTTGATACTAAAGTCCCACCCCCATCATCACAGATACTTGATACTAAAGTCCCACCCCATCATCACAGATAATTGATACTAAAGTCCCACCCTCATCATCACAGATACTTGATACTAAAGTCCCACCCTCATCATCACAGATACTTGATACTAAAGTCCCACCCTCATCATCACAGATACTTGATACTAAAGTCCCACCCTCATCATCACAGATACTTGATACTAAAGTCACACCCTCATCATCACAGATACTTAATACTAAATTGCAACCAGATCTGGGCGAATTCTTTACCTGGCAATTAAGACCGACCGATATAGAAATTCATTCGTTGCCCAATCTTACAGCATTTACCAGCATTCTCATCCCACTGATAATCAAATAATCATTCTGAAAGACAGTAGTCCCATTAATGAAGTAAGTTTTATAATACACGATGACTGATTTTTGCACTTGAGAAAATACTTTTAGATGTATTATGTTTAACTTGTCCTAACTGATCTGACCAGAATGTGCTGAAAATAAATATGTGCAATATCTTCAAAACACATTTTTCATTTATTTAGATCCATTTAAAAATTCTTATTTTATCGCATAAAATATTATTTTATCTCATCTTATTTATCTAATCTTATTTTATGGTATCTTATTTGATTTTGTCTTATTTATTGTATCTTATTTTATTTTGTCTTATTTTATAGTATCTGATCTTATTTTATCATATCACATCTCATCTTTTCTAATCGTATGTTATCCTATTTATCTAATCTTATTTAACTAATCTTATTTTATGTAATCTGATCTTATTTTATTTTATCGTATCTTATCTTATTTTATTTTATCTTACTTTATCTAATCGTATTTATCTAATCGTATTTTATCGTATCTTATTTTATCGTATCTTATCTTATTTTATGTACAATAACCTTATCTTATTCACACACGTACGATTCTTGCTCCTCATTCAAAAGCCCGTCCAAAACATTTTCTCTCCATCCATCTTATCCAAACAACATATCCACACAAAGCCCTGTGAAGGCTTATCCCCTACAAGGGCGCTTATCTTATTTTATCTCATATTATTTATCTAATCTTATTTCATAGTATCTTATTTGATTTTGTCTTATTATAAAGTATCTTATTTGATTTTGACCTATTTTATAGTATCTTATTTTATCATATCGTATCTTATCTTTTTTAATCGTATGTTATCCTATTTATCTAATCTCATTTACCTAATCTTATTTTATTTAATCTTATCTTATCTTATTTTATAGTATCTTATCTTATTTATTTAATCTTATTTTATATAATCGTATTTTATCTAATCTTATTTTTTCGTATCTTATTTTATGTACAATAACATTATCTTATTCACACACGTACGACTCTTTCTCTTCATTCAAAAGCCCGTCCAAAACATTTTCTCTACATCCATCTTATCCATACAACATATCCACATAAAGCCGTATGAAGGCCTCTCCCAAACAAGGGCCCTTAAAGTATAACGATTCTATCCTTGTACATAATTATTAGGGTATCCTTATTAGACAATCTTATCCCATCACGAGTCACCATTAAGTCACATCGGCTCTATCCCAACATTTTCATCCTATATCCTACATTAAAAAAAACATGTCCCCCCCCCCCCCCCAAATGACGATATCACATGACTTCTTCTTGCATGAAGTCAACTCCCGGATGTGTCTTCCTGCCGTTTCAATGATTCCCAGCATGCCCTTCGTCTCCGTGAGATCTGTACGTATGTGCGTGTCAGTGAGAATTGTAGGTGTGTCTGCGTGTCTGAGTGGGGATATCATTGAACAGGTCCATTGTTAGAGCTGACGGTGAGAGAATATCGGGAAGGTGTCAGTACGGTAAGATCGCTGGTCTCAACATTAACTATACGTTGTTACTCTTTCCGATATTTTTAATGTCTATTTTTCATTTTTACTTGGGGCGATTAGGAGTTTAGAAATTTGCAAAAAAAAAAAAGTTGAAATTAACTAAATTTGAACACCATTTAAAAATAGGTAAATTATTTCTGAACCACCAGGAATTATGTAGTTTTTAAAAAAAAAAAGAAAAGGTTTTGAAATAATTCTAGGGAAGCAGAACAAAAATATTTTTAATACCTAATTTTCTAACAGGATAACGCAAACAGCTCTTGGAGACTTTATCGAGTGTTGTCAAGTCTCAACTATGTGACCGAATAAACATATGCAAACAGTTATCAAATAAATCGTTTGTTTAAAAGTGCTCTCTGTAAAGCAATACACTATAGAACATTTACCGTCAAGTTTGGAAGTAGATAACGTCCAGGTGTTGATAGAGCACCTACCGTCAAGTTTGAAGGTAGATAACGTCCAGGTGTTGATAGAGCACCTACCATCAAGTTTGAAGGTAGATAACGTCCAGGTGTTGAAAGAACACCTACCGTCAAGTTTTAAGGTAGATAACGTCCAGGTGTTGATAGAGCACCTACCGTCAAGTTTGAAGGTAGATAACGTCCAGGTGTTGATAGAGCACCTACCGTCAAGTTTGGAAGTAGATAACGTCAAGGTGTTGATAGAGCACCTACCGCCAAGTTTGAAGGTATATAACGTCCAGGTGTTGATAGAGCACCTACCATCAAGTTTGAAGGTAGATAACGTCCAGGTGTTGAAAGAACACCTACCGTCAAGTTTTAAGGTAGATAACGTCCAGGTGTTGATAGAGCACCTACCGTCAAGTTTGAAGGTAGATAACGTCCAGGTGTTGATAGAGCACCTACCGTCAAGTTTGGAAGTAGATAACGTCAAGGTGTTGATAGAGCACCTACCGCCAAGTTTGAAGGTATATAACGTCCAGGTGTTGATAGAGCACCTACCATCAAGTTTGAAGGTAGATAACGTCCAGGTGTTGAAAGAACACCTACCGTCAAGTTTTAAGGTAGATAACGTCCAGGTGTTGATAGAGCACCTACCGTCAAGTTTGAAGGTAGATAACGTCCAGGTGTTGATAGAGCACCTACCATCAAGTTTGAAGGTAGATAACGTCCAGGTGTTGATCGAACACTTACCGTCAAGTTTTGAAGTAGATAACGTCCAGGTGTTGATAGAACACCTCCCGTCAAGTTTGGAAGTAGACAACGTCCAGGTGTTGATCATCACCATGAAGTATCTCGCAAAGTCGTCAATGTCAGTTGTTGCCTTTACCGCCGTGACGTTAATATGCAACATGACCACTATCCGATGTGGCGGCCCTTATGACTGGATGAAGCCGGACAAATTTAACCAGCTGGACGGCTTATTTCATTCGGTCAACGCTGGCAACTGTCGGTCGAAGAGCAAGCAACAGTTACTGATGAGGAGCGACGTGGTCTCACAGCTCCCGGTTTACAATCATCTCCTGTCCAAAGTTTGGTACAGAAACAGGACGTCGCTCATCCACATCCACAATATGGCATTAAACAGGGCCATGTTCCACAGGTAGGCATGAAACAAAGCCATGTTTCGCATGTAGGCATTAAACATCGAACTGTTTCACAGGTAGGTTTTAAACAGGGCCTTGACTCACAGGTAGGCATAGAACAGGGCCTTGATTCACAGGTAGGCATAGAACAGGGCCTTGATTCACAGGTAGGCATTAAACATGGAAATGTTTCACAGGTAGGCATAGAACAGGGCCTTGATTCACAGGTAGGCATAGAACAGGGCCTTGATTCACAGGTAGGCATAAAGATGGAAATGTTTCACAGGTAGGCATTAAACAGGGCCTTGACTCACAGGTAGGCACTAAGCATGGCAATGTTTCACAGGTAGGCATTAAACAGGGCCTTGACTCACAGGTAGGCACTAAGTATGGAAATGTTTCACAGGTAGGCATTAAGCATGGAAATGTTTCACATTAATCAATGCGTTTTTAAAAACACTTTTATGTATTTTGTTAAAGTAAAGAACAACAACCATTGGGTCAGTTACGAAGTACGAGTTAAGGTTATATTTATTTTTATTTTTTTGCTGGCGTCCGTCCGTCACAAGCACGGAATCCAAAAGGGTTGGGATTATCCTTTTTAGGATTATAAGCTGGTTCCCACACTGCAAATCGTCTCTCACCACGCCGCTGGATGAGCCAAGGGAACTTCATAAGTGGATGGCACAGCTTGGCGCCAGTGGCGTCGAAGGAGGTGTCGGCATGTTTCATTGTGTCAATGTTATCCGCCAACGGGTCTCCATCTCCGGCTTTGAATTCAGGGTTCCCTTCTCTTAGATGAGTTGTCATCCAAGTTTAACGAGTCCCATCCACCGGGGGGGGGGGGGGGGGACTTCTGGTGATCGTTTTTGCTTGTCGTGGCTTCGGTTGGGGATTGAAGTCCAGAACACGAACCTTGGATTGACTCAGTTTAGACCAGCCCCCCAGAGTTATACATTTGAATTCTAACTATTGTTTCTTTAAGACGCACAAGTTAGTTTTAAAATTCCAAGGTGAAACTTCATTATCGTTTCAGCTACATACTGCAAAAAATGAACGACTCTGAAAGTTTTCATAAACAGCCGGACTGGAGGTATTTCTACTTCAGCGCCGCCTCTGACGTCAATGCCAACCCCAACGTGCTCAACGGAAGCGCCTTTTACTTTGACACTGATTGCCACTATGCCAACTGGTAAATGTCATTAATAATATGCAGTGGCGTAGCTAGTGCTAGGGTTGTTGTCGTACAGAGCAGGCCATCATTTGCCTAAAACTTTTTTAAAGACCTATTTGATGATATTTTTAAAATCAATTTTGTTTATGGTTTTTAAACTCTGTCTCCCCCTTCCCTCCCCCACTTTATATATTTAAAAATGTGTTTTAGGCTCCCAACTTTACCATTCAACAAGACAATCCACTTATTTGGGCCACGAGCTTTCAGATGGGACGACTACAGGGACCAGGACAACTACCTACGAGAACCAACTCGAACAGTTGTAAAAGTCACAGATATCGGGAGCGGGAATAGTAATTACACCCACCCTGGGTACAAAATGAACACCTGGTGAGCACTTGGTTTTAACATGCCCGGAGGGGGGCGGAGGGTAGGTGGAATTAGGGTGTCAATTTTATGATGGGATGTCAGTGGGGCACCTAAAGGTATTGAAGGTCAACGTCAACTGTGAAAGCTTCGTGTCAGTCGTTAGATCTTGATGTCACATGGTTTGATGCCAACATTCGTTTGGGCATGTCAGGTGCGAGTGAAATGGTGACTGCACGGGAAATATGTCATCGGGGAAATCTGGGTGCAAGTTGACGGGGCTGAATACCCATCGGTTGGGATATGTGCCAGGAGACTGGTTTGAATGCCAGTCGATGGTAGTTGGTACCAGCAGAAAGGACTGAATGCCAGGCGGTAGTGGTTGGTACCAGTAGACAGGACTGAATGCCAGGCGGTATTTGTTGGTACCAGCAGACAGGACTGAATGCCAGGCGGTAGTGGTTGGTACCAGTAGACAGGACTGAATGCCAGGCGGTAGTGGTTGGTACCAGCACACAGGACTGAATGCCAGGCGGTAGTGGTTGGTACCAGTAGGCGGGACTGGATGCCAGGCGGTAGTGGTTGGTACCAGTAGACAGGACTGAATGCCAGGCGGTAGTGGTTGGTACCAGTAGACAGGACTGAATGCCAGGCGGCAGTGGTTGGTACCAGTAGACAGGACTGAATGCCAGTCGGTAAAGATTGGTTTCAGTAAGGTCTCTACAATCCAGCATTCGAAACCAAGGTACTAATGTTATAACTTGGTCTTATAGGTACACAACCTGGCTGCCAGATACACATGCAAACGAAGACTCGCTGACCAAGTTCACATATTACATTGATATAAAACAGTCCAACGTAACAGGTAGGTCACCTGGACATTTAAGACAGAGGTAAAGGTTAACTATTATCACCAGAGATTTTGAGTTTTCCCTCTCCAGCAGGTTACTGTAACATATATCTCCCATCTTCTCCAGCAGATTACTGTAACAAATATCTCCAATCTTCTTTAGCAGGTTACTGTAACAAATATCTCCCATCTTCTTCAGCAGGTTACACTGTAACAAATCTCCCATCTTCTCGAACAGGTTACGCAGTAAAAATATCTCCCATCTTCTCCAGCTGGTTACACTGTAACAAATCGCCCATCTTCTCGAACAGGTTACGCAGTAAAAATATCTCCCATCTTGTCCAGCAGGACACACTGTCACACTTATCTTCCACATGATACACTGATATTTTGTATCTTTTATTTTCTTCGCCAGGAAAATTTCAAGCTGACCAAAATGAACGTTTCGCTTTCTTCGGCCCGTCCATGCCGGGGGCGGCTGATACGGAGCCCAAAATGCTCCCCGTGCAGTTCACGGCGCCCTATTTTGACTGTGGGGGCGCCAACAAGTGGGTGGTCAGTGCCGTGTCGCCGGTTGTTGATTTTATGCCGAGATATTCAAACTTTACTCACCTGAGACGTCAGAAGTAAGTGCTACCTGATTCAAGAGGAGGTGAGGGGGGGGGGGGCGGGGGTTAATTTAAGAGGACAAGGCTAAATTGTTGGGATGAGTAGAAATTTAGATAGCTTAAAGCAANTCACAGTTTTGTGATACGTGTTCTGAGACCTCACTGAAGTCACAGTTTTGTGATACGTGTTCTGAGACCTCACTGAAGTCACAGTTTTGTGATACGTGTTCTGAGACCTCACTGAAGTCACAGTTTTGTGATACGTGTTCTGAGACCTCACTGAAGTCACAGTTTTGTGATACGTGTTCTGAGACCTCACTGAAGTCACAGTTTTGTGATACGTGTTCTGAGACCTCACTGAAGTCACAGTTTTGTGATACGTGTTCTGAGACCTCACTGAAGTCACAGTTTTGTGATACGTGTTCTGAGACCTCACTGAAGTCACAGTTTTGTGATACGTGTTCTGAGACCTCACTGAAGTCACAGTTTTGTGATACGTGTTCTGAGACCTCACTGAAGTCACAGTTTTGTGATACGTGTTCTGAGACCTCACTGAAGTCACAGTTTTGTGATACGTGTTCTGAGACCTCACTGAAGTCACAGTTTTGTGATACGTGTTCTGAGACCTCACACAAGTCACAGTTTTGTGATACATGTTCTGAGACCTCACTGAAGTCACAGTTTTGTGATACGTGTTCTGAGACCTCACTGAAGTCACAGTTTTGTGATACATGTTCTGAGACCTCACTGAAGTCACAGTTTTGTTATACATGCTCATGTTCTGAGACCTCACTGAAGTCACAGTTTTGTTATACATGTTCATGTTCTGAGACCTCACACAAGTCACAGTTTTGTGATACATGTTCTGAGACCTCACTGAAGTCACAGTTTTGTTATACATGTTCATGTTCTGAGACCTCACACAAGTCACAGTTTTGTGATACGTGTTCTGAGACCTCACACAAGTCACAGTTTTGTTATACATGTTCATGTTCTGAGACCTCACTGAAGTCACAGTTTTGTGATACGTGTTCTGAGACCTCACACAAGTCACAGTTTTGTGATACGTGTTCTGAGACCTCACACAAGTCACAGTTTTGTTATACATGTTCATGTTCTGAGACCTCACTGAAGTCCCAGTTTTGTTATACGTGTTCTGAGACCTCACACAAGTCACAGTTTTGTGATACGTGTTCTGAGACCTCACACAAGTCACAGTTTTGTTATACGTGTTCTGAGACCTCACACAAGTCACAGTTGTGTGATACGTGTTCTGAGACCTCACACAAGTCACAGTTTTGTGATACGTGTTCTGAGACCTCACACAAGTCACAGTTTTGTTATACGTGTTCTGAGACCTCACACAAGTCACAGTTTTGTTATACGTGTTCTGAGACCTCACACAAGTCACAGTTTTGTGATACGTGTTCTGAGACCTCACACAAGTCACAGTTTTGTTATACGTGTTCTGAGACCTCACACAAGTCACAGTTGTGTGATACGTGTTCTGAGACCTCACACAAGTCACAGTTTTGTTATACGTGTTCTGAGACCTCACACAAGTCACAGTTTTGTGATACGTGTTCTGAGACCTCACACAAGTCACAGTTTTGTGATACGTGTTCTGAGACCTCACACAAGTCACAGTTAATTATGTTTCTGTTTGATAATGTCTTTGTAGGTTTGTGGGCGTGGTCGTCATGGACATTGACCTGAACAAGATTGACTTCAACTCTTGTGGGGTCAGTCCAGGGAACCCAGGCCCCAGTTATTTGTCTGGGATAGACAGGTGTAAGAGAACCACATCGGTAAGTTCACCTGTGCTTATGGCATTACCATTGCATCTGGCCAATTCAGAGCATTCACTGAACCCATTAGCTAAAATATATTTTCGCGAAACGTCTGTTAAAGAAATGGCCGTTAATTTTTTTCACACTTAGGCTTAACATACAAATAAAAAGTGGATATTAATATGTATTATCGTTAAAGTTCAGTTTAAAAAAATGTTAATGGATTTTAATATAAATTATTATTATTATTATTAGTAAAGAAATGGCCGTTAATTTTTTTTTAACACTTAGGCTTAACATACAAATAAAAAGTGGATATTAATATGTATTATCGTTAAAGTTCAGTTTAAATGGATTTGTTAATGGATTTTAATATAAATTATTATTATTTGTCCGTTTAAGAAAGGATTTATGTGCTCGCTATGTCACTACAGCACAATCATGTACAAGTGGTATGTCTGGATACCTGGGCTGGATTATATGATAAGTCAGTTGTACTTCATTAAATGACAGAATGCAGGGGAAAAATAATATGACAAGCCCATTGTAGTTCATTAGATGACAGATTGTCGAGGCAGGATTATATGACAAGCCAAATCAGGGCAACTTAATATGAGCATAAACTAGGCACCAATCATATGAGATAATAACTCGGCAATCATTAATTTAACATATAATAACATATTTGGGGCATTACATACCATACAAACTCCACTGTTTTGTGAGGTTTCTGAATAATTTTATATTATGTCATTACACCCCCCCCCCCTTTTTTTTGGAGTCTAGATCGAGATTTGATTTGACATTTTTACCGCCGTTATATAAAAAAATCCACAACATTTTGAGTAATATGTGTACCAAGTTTAGATCTAAAAAGTTCATTGAATCAAGGACATAACTCTTTGAATTTAGTTAGCCAAAATCTTGACATCGCTCTCCAGAAGGTAAATGCACTTGATACAACTATTGATATCGGNCGGCAATCATTAATTTAACATATAATAACATATTTGGGGCATTACATACCATACAAACTCCACTGTTTTGTGAGGTTTCTGAATAATTTTATATTATGTCATTACCCCCCCCCCCCCTTTTTTTTGGAGTCTAGATCGAGATTTGATTTGACATTTTTACCGCCGTTATATAAAAAAATCCACAACATTTTGAGTAATATGTGTACCAAGTTTAGATCTAAAAAGTTCATTGAATCAAGGACATAACTCTTTGAATTTAGTTAGCCAAAATCTTGACATCGCTCTCCAGAAGGTAAATGCACTTGATACAACTATTGATATCGGGAAAAGGAAATAATGAAAGGTAGACACAAATACCAACACTCGGATATATTGAAATGTTAATAATCAGAAATTAAGGGGTACAGACGTAGAAAGGGGTATAGAGAGAAAAAGGTAAGTGAAAGAAAGGCAAAAGAAGGTTAACGAAAACATTAAGGAACTAATTGGATGGAACTATGAGAGATTGCCGGGAAAAAGGAACTATGAGAGTCTGTCCGGAAAAAGGAACTATGAGAGTCTGTCGGTAAAAGGAAATGGGAGAGGCTGTCGGGAACATGACAATATGAGAGGCTGTCGGGAACATGACAATATGAGAGGCTGTCGGGAACATGACAATATGAAAGGCTGTCGGGAACATGACAATATTAGAGGCTGTCGGGAACATGGCAATATGAGAGGCTGTCGGGAACATGGCAATATGAGAGGCTGTCGGGAAAAAGGAAATATGAGAGTCTGTCGGTAAAAGTAAATGGGAGAGGCTGTCGGGAACATGACAATATGAGAGGCTGTCGGGAACATGACAATATGAGAGGCTGTCGGGAACATGACAATATGAGAGGCTGTCGGGAACATGACAATATTAGAGGCTGTCGGGAGCATGGCAAAATGAGAGGCTGTCGGGAACATGGCAAAATGAGAGGCTGTCGGGAACATGACAATATGAGAGGCTGTCGGGAAATCGGAAACAAATGGGAGGGCAATTTTAGGTGTGATCGGGGGAGGATTTTCGGTTGACATCAGGTGAATGGTGATTCATTTCATGTGAAATATTAGTGGATCGTTGAGTGTAAAGCGATTGCATTTTCAGTTGATTATAAGAAGGAAGGCAATCCTTTGTTATTTTGGATGGAGAAAGTAACGCCATGAAAGAGGAGACAAGGACATGAGAACGGAGGGCAGGGGAGTTTTGAGCACATTTGTGAGAACAAAGGCAGATCTACGTCTCTGGTAATAGATGAATTGGAGGCTTTCTGGACAGCAGATTGTAATTACATTTTAACCAAAAAAAAAAATAATTTTCTACAAAATTGGAGAAACAAAGAGACGCCTAGGCTTGAGAAAGATAGAGTTGTCAAGAGACCGCCCTAATCAGGGCGCGGATCAGCTAGGGATTTCTTGAGAACCTGGAAGTGAAATCAATAATTCACGTCTTTTAAACAACACCGCTGCTGGACGTTATACCGCTGCATTGTAGAAAGCTGCAAACGTGTTTTGCTGGACCATTAGAAACGATTTAGAAAAGTGCGTTCCCGATATGGTGGTCCGCGGACCTACAGTGGTCCGCGAGCTTTATTTTGCCGGTCCGCACAACATGTATATTTACGGTCAAATAAAGAAGATTTCATAAATAAAGCTGGCACCTGCCCTGGGTTCATTTTCGGAACTAGTCCACTGGTACGCCAGACTTATGATTGGGTAAACGCTGCTCTAACGCACGTTACATCAATTTTTCTTTTTACTTAATTCCATTAAGTCAACCATTCAATCAATCACTGAGTCAATCATTAAGTCAACCATTAAGTCAATCACTGAGTCAATCATTAAGTCAATCACTGAGTCAACCATTAAGTCAATCACTGAGTCAACCATTAAGTCAATCACTGAGTCAACCATTAAGTCAATCACTGAGTCAATCATTAAGTCAATCACTGAGTCAATCATTAAGTCAATCACTGAGTCAATCATTAAGTCAATCACTGAGTCAACCATTAAGTCAATCACTGAGTCAACCATTAAGTCAATCACTGAGTCAATCATTAAGTCAATCACTGAGTCAATCATAAGTCAATCACTGAGTCAACCATTAAGTCAATCACTGAGTCAACCATTAAGTCAATCACTGAGTCAATCATTAAGTCAATCACTGAGTCAATCATTAAGTCAATCACTGAGTCAATCATTAAGTCAATCACTGATTCAACCATTAAGTCAATCACTGAGTCAATCATTAAGTCAATCACTGAGTCAATCATTAAGTCAATCACTGAGTCAACCATTAAGTCAATCACTGAGTCAATCATTAAGTCAATCACTGAGTCAACCATTAAGTCAATCACTGAGTCATTAATTAAGTCAATCACTGAGTCAACCATTAAGTCAATCACTGAGTCAATCATTAAGTCAATCACTGAGTCAATCATTAAGTCAATCACTGAGTCAATCATTAAGTCAATCACTGAGTCAACCATTAAGTCAATCACTGAGTCAACCATTAAGTCAATCACTGAGTCAATCATTAAGTCAATCACTGAGTCAATCATAAGTCAATCACTGAGTCAACCATTAAGTCAATCACTGAGTCAACCATTAAGTCAATCACTGAGTCAATCATTAAGTCAATCACTGAGTCAATCATTAAGTCAATCACTGAGTCAATCATTAAGTCAATCACTGATTCAACCATTAAGTCAATCACTGAGTCAACCATTAAGTCAATCACTGAGTCAATCATTAAGTCAATCACTGAGTCAATCATAAGTCAATCACTGAGTCAATCATTAAGTCAATCACTGAGTCAATCATTAAGTCAATTTGTCGTTATTAAATTTTTCATAACGTGGATTGTCACCTCTCTCTCCCTTTGTTTATTCGGCTAGGTCTTAGATGTCCATATGTATTCGGCTAGGTCTTAGATGTCCATATCTATTCGGCTAGGTCATAGATGTCCATATCTATTCGGCTAGGTCATAGCTGTCCATATCTATTCGGCTAGATCTTAGATGTCCATATCTTTTCAGCTAGGTTTTAGCTGTGCATATCTATTCGGCTAGGTCATAGATGTCCATATCTATTCGGCTAGATGTTATATGTCTATTCTTTCCCTCAGAGTGCGGAGTTGTGTATAAATGTTTCTCTATTCAAAGTGCAAGCACAAGGCAGGATTCGGCCTCAAAAGGGGTGGATATATCTGTGTTTGCAAACCGGGTACCCGCTGGCCGTGGTGGCAAGAGCCGCCCTACCAGGGCGCCGACATTGAAATGGCCACGGAGGAGGAGTACAAGGCTGGCTTCTTGTGCTTAAAAAATCAACGTAAGAAAATGTGAAGAATGTCTGTTGGCATCAACACTCACTTCATTCAGTCTGTTGGCGTCAACACTCACTTCATTCAGTCTGTTGGCGTCAACACTCACTTCATTCAGTCTGTTGGCGTCAACACACAATTCAGTCTGTCTCTAGGTGTCTTGGTCTGTCAATTAATGTCATCAGACTCTATAGTATGTCTGCTAAATGAACGACTATTTCTGTATTGTGTATGGGCCAGTCTTGTTTTCATTGATTCATAGCAGTTTTGATATTTTACCTGGATAATAATATTTTGTACTGTAATCTTTTAAACTTGTTTGTCTAAATGAGATGGGAACGTTGAATCGATGAAGTAAGTTTGTAATTCTTCCGTAAATTATAAATTCCAAAATTATTTGCCTTACTTTGAATCAGGCCTGCACAACCCAGAATGTAAGGAGGGCCGTAAAACATTACAAAAAACTTGTGCGGGCCAAACAAACAAAAAAAAAAATCGGACAAGGGGAAAGGTATTAAGAAAATAATAAGAATAAAGAATACTTCGTTACTTCGCGGGCCGCAAAGTGAGTGCTAGTGGGCCGCATGCGGCCCGCGGTCCGTATGTTGTGCAGGCTTGCTTTAAATGTTTCTTTAATTATATTAATAAACCTACCAGCCATCACGACCAGATATATAGTACTGCCTTCAGTGATTCTTGGCATATAGTAAATCCACCGGCCAACGATCCCCAGATACCTTAGTCCTGCCTGTCATTGATCGTTACCCTGGTGTCCACTTTGAACTAGGGGACCAGATCGTCAGTAGCGGAGGTCCGCCAGCGAACTCTCAAGCTGATGGTCAAGCCGAGAAGCAAAGATCTTCAGGTAAAGAACGCTTTTACCCAATCTGGTCGGTCACCGTTGTCTTATTAATCATGATTATCTAAGCGCCCCTACACATGTTAGTGGTTTTTATTAATCAAGTTTATCCAAGCGCCACCTACATTGGGCATCACAAAATAACACTCACTCCTTTGGAAACTTTAGATTTACGATGTTACTCTCTAAGAGATGATATATTATATATAATGCTTTTATTTTGACACAGACGATAACGAAATAGAGACCAGACGATTTATATATATATATATATATATATATATATATATATATATATATATATATATATATATATATATAAGAATGAGCTAGAGTTACATAACGCCAAAGGGGATATACTTTTTAAGTACGTTCGGATTCCTAAAAACAATCATAGTTATTTTCTGTTATTTTACTGAAATCAAATCAATTTAAATGTGCAAAACAATATTTTAAATCCGCTTTTATTTTATTAAAAGTTAAAGTGTTATTATTCTAAATTACACAAATACATTTAAAATATCAAACAAGGAATTATTTTAAGCATTTTACCCGAATGTAAAAGTTATATACGCCTCTGCTCGGAATACATAGGCCTACCGTCCACACTTACGGTAATATTAATTGTAATTGTAATACACTCAGAAAACCGAGCTCGTGCTGTGTTATTCTCACTATTTACACGAACTTTGTAATGAACACATCTTACATATGAAGAAAAAAAAACAACAACAGCACGATAGAGCGAAGCCGCGAAAGTGGAAGCTCGAAGTGGCTAGGGACGACTGTAATTTAGGTTTATCCTGAATATCTCGGCGAAAGTGGAAGCTCGAAGTGGCTAGGGACGACTGTAATTTAGGTTTATCCTGAATATCTCGGCGAAAGTGGAAGCTCGAAGTGGCTAGGGACGACTGTAATTTAGGTTTATCCTGAATATCTCGGCGAAAGTGGAAGCTCGAAGTGGCTAGGGATGACTGTAATTTAGGTTTATCCTGAATATCTCCTCCCCCCCCCTCCCCTCCCACCACCCTGTTACCTTGCACCGCTAAGCTCACTGTAAAGATCATAGAAATTAATTTAAGTTTTGGGATGTACGGAGTGATGGCTTTAGTATGATATGAGTTGGAAAAATTGAGCAAGTGAGATGGCACGACATGTTTAGATTAAGAAGGTAATGGATTCTTCATTGCAATTTTTGTTTTCTAGGCGATGTCCATGGTGACCAACACTCGCAATCACGTGATCCAACAGACCGGGACAGCATAAAAAAGATCATCGAAGATGCGGAGATGATACGAGAGTTTCGGATAAGAGTGTGTTTGCTTTGGAGACTTCTAGCCTTTGAAGATACTGAAATTATCTATAGAGATTTGTCTGGACATTTATAGAGATTTGAATGGACATCTATAGGGATTGGACTGGACATCTATAGAGATTTGTCTGGACATCTATAGAGATTTGAATGGACATCTATAGGGATTAGACTGGAAATCTATAGGGATTTGACTGGACATCTATAGAGATTTGAATGGAAATCTATAGAGATTTGACTGGACATTTATAGAGATTTGACTGGACATCTATAGAGATTTGACTGGATATCTTTAGGGATTTAATGTACAAAACCACCCATGCGGTCACCAAATACAAGTCAACAAAATAAAAGTCAAACCCAAATTGCAATGACCCCCACGATAGTTATTAAGAGACACAGCCCAGATGCAAAATGTTGAGAACCGCTGACAACAAAATGAAGTTAGGAATTATATTTGTGAATATTCAACAACTTGAAACAATGGTGAGCCAGTAATAGGATAGATTAAAGCCAGAAATATCTAAATTAGGCTTATAGCAAAGCCTCTAGAGCAGGCCTGCACAACATACGGCCCGCGGGCCACATGCGGCCCACAAGCACCCAGTTTGCGTTCGCGAAGTAACGAAACATTCTTTATTCTTATTATTTTCTTTATTGCTTTCCCCCGTCCTATTATTTTTTTGGTCCCGCACAAGTCCTGTCCTATTTTCCTTTGGTCGCACAAGTTTTTCATAAAGTATTACGGCCCGCCTTACATTTTGAGTTGTGCAGGCCTGCTCTAGAGGTTAAATACACTATAAAGGGTGGGCGGAAACTTTAATAGGAATATAATATGTGCCTTAAATAGAGGGTTGCCGCCATATGTTTAATGCAAGATATCAAGTTCAGGTTTTCTGAGGTCACTTTACGAGTCACCTGTCAAATAAATATCCATTGTAAAGCCTAAGCGTGTATGTACAAACATACGTCGGTCATCAAGTTTGTATGTACACACATACGTCGTTAAACAAGTTTGTATGTACAAACATACGTGTACAAACATACGTCGGTCATCAAGTTTGTATGTACACACATACGTCGTTAAACAAGTTTGTATGTACAAACATACGTCGGTCATCAAGTTTGTATGATGAAACATCCGCCATTAAATAGTTTGTATGTACAAACATACGTCGGTCAACAAGTTTTTATTTACAAACATACGTCGTTAAACAAGTTGTATGTACAAACATACCTCTGTCATTAAGTTTGTATGATGAAACATCCGTCATTAAACAAGTTTGTATGTACAAACATACGTCGGTCACCAAGTTGGTATGATGAAACATCCGTCATTAAACAAGTTTGTATGTACAAACATACGTCGGTCATCAAGTTTGTATGATCAAACAATCCATCATTAAACAAGTTTGTATGTACAAACATACGTCGGTCACCAAGTTTGAATGTACAAACGTACGTCACTGACCAAGTTTGTGTGATCAAACATCCGTCATTAAACACGTTTGTATGTACAAACATACGTTTGTCACCAAGTTTGTATGTACAGACAACAGCCGTTCAAGAATGTCGGCTATAAATGAAAGAGGTAATCAATTTTCTCCGGCGAATGGCCCGCAAAGTTAGAATGGGGGAACACCCTGTATTGCAAATCATTTAATATGGATCTTGAGAGTTATCAAGATAGAATTCGAGATGCGTCAAGATAGATTTGTGAGAGCTTACAAAGTAGAATGTGATAGATTTGTGAGAGCTTTCAAAGTAGAATGTGATAGATTTGTGAGAGCTTTCAAAGTAGAATTTGATAGATTTGTGAGAGCTTTCAAAGTAGAATTTGATAGATTTGTGAGAGCTTTCAAAGTAGAATTTGATAGATTTGTGAGAGCTTTCAAAGTAGAATTTGATAGATTTGTGAGAGCTTTCAAAATAGAATTTGATAGATTTGTGAGAGCTTTCAAAGTAGAATTTGATAGATTTGTGAGAGCTTTCAAAGTAGAATTTGATAGGTTTGTGAGAGCTTTCAAAGTAGAATTTGATAGGTTTGTGAGAGCTTTCAAAGTAGAATTTGATGGGTTTGTGAGAGCTTTCAAAGTAGAATTTGATAGATTTGTGAGAGCTTTCAAAGTAGAATTTGATAGATTTGTGAGAGCTTTCAAAGTAGAATTTGATAGATTTGTGAGAGCTTTCAAAGTAGAATTTGATAGATTTGTGAGAGCTTTCAAAGTAGAATTTGATAGATTTGTGAGAGCTTTCAAAGTAGAATTTGATAGATTTGTGAGAGCTTTCAAAGTAGAATTTGATAGATTTGTGAGAGCTTTCAAAGTAGAATTTGATAGATTTCCAAGTACAATTGCCGACCGACAAAAGGACAGAGCGACAGTCTGACTTCTGGCAGACGACCGAGAACCCAAATCAATTTCGGCTGAAACTGAAAAACAACCCAAAATTAACTTGTCTGTTTCGGCCGAAGACGAAGCTATGCCGAAATCGATCATTTGGCAACTTTCGGCACGAAAACCGAAACTGAAATTCGGTCGGCCTCTAGACCACGTGAAGTCCCAATCTGAGTTATTGATTATCTTCGAACACGCGGATCGCAATGTAATCGATTTTCTGTGATAATAAATTGGTTAAAATTGAATTAATTTTTTTGATGATCTATTGGAGTATATGACATTCTTGCTCTGGTTGTTCCTTATAAGGTAGGTCACCCTAGTGTCATTAGTCACACTACGGGTGAACGACACAATTCTACAGACATCTAAATATTACCCCCATGTATAATAGATGGAGGAAAAAAAAGTTTCCCAACAGAAAAGAAACTAAAACAGTGTCCAATGAAGCATTGACAGAAATGAAAGCAAACTTTAATGGACCGAAATACTATGACAAGACAGATGTTGACCTAAAAGCAGACATGTGATCAGAGCAGACAGACACTTCTCACAAAGGGATTGAAATGAGTTTTGTGCCACAATCACGATGCCTTGTAAACCATAACAGAGGCGAAGTGGTCCAAGTGGTGACTAATATTTTACTATACACAAACACAATACAAAATATCGTATCCGGAAATTTGATCGAACGAAATTTCGTCGACGGTAAATTGATCGACTGAAATTTGATCGAAACTTTTTTCTTCTTCAGTTTTTACGTTAAAATTTTGCTTCAAATTTCTTTTTGAACGCATTAATTTTTGTTTACTATATAGTATAATGCGTTCAAAAATAAATTTGACAAAATTTTGACGCGCCATTTGAAAAAAAAAAAAAAAAAAAGATTCGACTAAATTTCGTTCGATCAAATTTCCGTCGATCAATTTACCGTCAACGAAATTTCTTTCGATGAAATTTCCGGTAATTACGAAATATACCTCATGAAAATCCGAACACCCTTGGAGCTGATATCATATTAATCTCAATGCTCCAATGATTAGCTGATGAATAATCGTCTTTTCTTCTTAAACTTTATAATGTATCAACACACTATAGAATGTTCAATTTTCTTCAAATACATTACATCACCGGTTCTCAACCTTTGGGTCACACCCCCTTGGGGGGTCGCACGACCCTTTCTCAGGGGTCATCTAAGACCACCTGAGAACACATGTGCTCTATAGTTATGATGTATAACCGAAAATAATTTTGAGGCTGGGGTCGCCACAACACGATGAACTGTATAAGGGGTCACTGTCATAGGAAGGTTGAGAACCACTGCATTACATGAATCGACTGTCATATTATTCCAAAATGAAACCTAAGAACAAGGTATGCTAAACTAGAATCCACAAAGAAGGCAAAACTTGAATGCAGTCCATCGATTATCACTTAATTTATGTGCAGTCCAATTAATTATTATCAGATTATTCCACCTCCAATTTCTTGTTTCTTTCTTCGCTCTCGCCGACTGGCCAGTTTTTCTCAAGTCCCAATACTCTTGTATATTACATAATTAATAACTCCCTTAGTAATTATGTCCCATATATCCAGATCTGTGACAAGTTGTACTAGAGCGTATGAACTAATTTGAAATATTTGCAGGCAAGGCGCGACGTCAAGTCTCCACATGCAAACGATGACAACGGAAGCACAGAGGACGATTACGTCATCAAAAACATGGTGGATGTGGACGTAGAGAGATTGTATCAGGTAAAGGACAGGAAATTCTCCATGCTATTCCTGGGCAACTTCACTGTTTACCAACGAGAATATTTATCATTGCTTAATGTCGTTGCCATGTATCAATACTGAGTACCTGCATAAGTCCTCATCAACTTAACGCTTCAGGAAAACTTTAACATTTATAAACCAAACATTTAGACAAAATAAACAGTCGAGATTGTCTACAAAGTCATAGGTTTTATGCTATAGCCCAACAATAAAATTTGACGAAAAATGTCTTTAAAAAAAATGACCAAGAAGAATAATTTCAAAAGATTGTTTGACAACAACAGGACTCGAGAATGGACCTTTTATTATTTCTATTTTTATTTTATTTTATATTGGTTGGGGGGGGGGGGAATTTTTGAGATCAAAATGCACCCAGAGCCTTTGATTCGTTACTACATGCGTTGCAAATCGTAAATTTGATCGAAAGAAATTAAGGCGACGGTAAATTGATCGACGGAAAATTGATCGAACGGAAATTTGGTTGAAACTTTTTTTCAGTTCACACGTATAAATTTCCGTCAAATTTCTTTTTGAACGCACTATACTATATAGTAGAACAAAATAATGCGTTCAAAAAGAAATTTGAACCAAATTTTAACGTAAAAACTTTTTTTTTTTAATTTCGACCAAATTTCCGTTTGATCAAATTACCGTCGATCCATTTACCGTCGACGAAATTTCTTTCCATCAAAGTTCTGGATACGGGTGCGATCCAATCCTGTACTACTTATTAGTTTTGGTTTACATTTTTTTTTTTGGAGCGGGAGTCATACAATTATCCCAGGCGATGCTCTATTCAGCTATTTGCATATTATATAAATAGTGGACTTTCATGTCTCGGTTAGCGGCGTCCACTCCTATCACCTTATATTGATCCGCAAAGAGGTCGAACTACTTTTGATGTGTATTGTCTTGGTTTTGTGTGTGAGACAGTAAACTCTAAGGACAGTCCTGGAATGAACAGAACCTGGCAAAGCCACTGCTTCATGACCTTCGACCTCAATGTTAGCTTCTCATTTCTCTTAAACTTTTTATTGTAGTTCATCTCGCCCTCTTTATTTCCCCCCCCCCCTTTTTTTTTTTGCAGGATGACGTCAGAGCACACGTGGAACTAAGAAACCAATTGCTGGCGGGAAATGGCATGAAAAAAAACTTGAGTTCGATCGAAACCACGCTGCTAGAGAGTATGACTAAACTGCGCGACAGACACGCCGAGCGTTTTAAAAGTCTGCCAACCTCAGGTCATGGACGAGTGAAGCGGGCCTCTGTGTTTGATGACCAGGCTTTTGACAGGTAAGATTAATTGGAGATATCATTTATAATTTAATTTTTTTTTTTTTTTTTTTTTAAAGAAGGCTTTAAAAAATAACGACTGCTTTGGCAGAAGTAAAAATATTTAATGACAATGATACAGAATTTCAATGACAATGATACAGAATTTCAATGACAATGATACAGAATTTCAATAACATGTTAAGATTTTCAATTACTGATTTTAAAAAAAAAATTAAAACTTAGGGATTTAATTTATAATGTTTTTTTTTTTTTTAAATTCTTTTAATTCGTTATGAAAGGAAGGTACATTATTTTTTTTGGGAGGTATAATTTTTTCCAAATTAAAGGATGATGAAAATTATGCGTCAGAAGGCCAGTGTAACGTCATCCAGTTGTCACAAACTTCCGAACCACCAACTCTTTCTACCCGGTGACGTCAGTTACGGAGTCAACGCACAGTTTGAGTCTGAAGGAAGAACAGCCCTACGGCTGTCTCACTTCCTGTCTTTAATGCTGCAGGTCTGTGTCTTAGGCTGTCTCACTTCCTGACTTTATCTTTCATTATGAAACTGCGCTTTTTAAAAGTTACCTTCTGCTGCTATGACTGTTTTATGTACTTAACTAGCTGTTTTGCCCCGTGTTGATCGGGGTTTCGCTTTATAGGAATATTAACAAAACCACAGCAATATTGATTTTAAAAAATCCACAAGAAAGAACATGGGCAAAACCATACCAATTTTTTTTTTAATAAATATTTTTTAAACTTTAAGAGTTTTTGGGTACAAAAAAAAAAAAACTTTTTATGCCAAATTTAAAAAAAAAAAAAAAAAAGAATAACAGTAAATGTAAAGAGGTGTGCCCATATTTAGCATCTCCTTTATTTGAAATTAATGTGCGATGCCGCACAAAAAATGTGATTATTTTTAAAGAAAAGAAGATTGCACATTATTTTAGGACTACGTATTTGTTTATGTGAAATTTTATATTATGCTATGCATAAAAGCCGTTTGAGATTGAAGATTTATTGAGAAAAAACGATTTCAGCTAAATGATATCGTGAACTGTAAAGATATGACATACATAAGTATCGTACAGCTCATAACATTCCCAAGCCTCGTATTACAGGCCATGAATATTTCGAGACCTGTAGTGCTCCCTTTGAACATTTCTGTGTTCGTCTATCGCAAGTTCAAATACTAAAAGCATAAACAATAATGCAGCGACGTCATTAGGTTGGAAATAGCTTAGTGCGGAAAACTCAAATTTTCCCCCACCAAACCCCTCCACCGACCCAAAGACTTTCCAAATTGACCAAACCATTTTAAACCGTGACGATTTCAAGGTCCCCCTCTGCTGATACGCCGCTCTGGTGGAAGCCCTTTTCTGGTGGAAGCCTGCTGTGGTGGAATTCTACTGTGGTGGCATTCTGCTGTGGTGGCTTTCTGCTATGGTGGCATTCTGCTTTGTTGGCATTCTGCTATGGTGGCATTCTGCTGTGGTGGGATTCTGCTTTGGTGGCATTCTGCTTTGGTGGCATGCTGCTGTAATGGCATTCTGCTTTGGTGGCATTGTGCTGTAGTGGCACTCTGGTATGGTGCTTCTCTGATTTGTTTTTTCCAAATAAGATCGGTTATGAACTCTACTAGGGCAAACTCTGTTACACTTGCATGTTCACCATGTTGTTGTCACCATTCTGCGGCCCACACGCCCGCACAGCACCAGAGACGCTACAGCAGTTATGTTCAATCTACAGAGCGCTCCACCGGGAATGACCGAGGAAAACTCTAGGGCGGGTCCCAGCCTACATGTCGATCACATGTTTGGAGAGGTCCTGGCCAACGTAATGGGCAACTTCCGGATTGTGTCAGCAGGCCTTTACTTTGACAGGTAACAAATGTGACCTAGATCATGTTTACTTGGTCATTAGAATGGTAGAATCAAAGTAAAATATAAGCTTTGTTCTTATAAAAAAAATCTCTGTTCACACAAGGTTTTTAAAAAATTTCCCGACAGTTTTACTTATCAATTGTATCTTCCTCCCGAGATAGTCTTAATTAAATCTATTTAAAATACAAGACGAGGAAAGAGCATTTAGAAGGTCGGCATAATAATTGCCTACATTTTAAAATAGTTTTTTTTTTTAATGAGTTCTGTAATCTCCTTTATATGGTAAATAAAATTATAGTTCCTTTAAAAAAAAAAGATTAAAAAAACAACAAAAAAACAAAACAAAAAACAACATTCCAATTACTTTTCATCCGACAGAAATTGTTTGTAAATTAATAAAAGTTGATTTCTGTTTACATAAAACTGCAATGAATACAACGACACTCTTCTTGCAATTTCTTAGAGTTGTTTGTTGTTGTTTGTTGTTGTTTGTTTGTGGTCGTTTTTAATTTTTGTTATATTATGTTGTGGGAGTGGGAAAATTTTGCAGATAACAGACGAGAAACCTAAGGTTTCCTAAAGTGATAAGCTTAGCTTTTGCTGAGAAAGCTAAACAAATTTTTTTTTTAATTCATGCATTTTATAATACATCTAACTTTGCGCACTGTTTCTGTGCGCAACGACAAAAGGAAACCGTGGCCCATTCACTCAATGATAGCCGACGGCAGCTTTTTGAATTTTACTTGAGATGACCACAGGCTGTGTCCATGTTGGCCAGTAAATTCCTATATCAACTATTCCTAAGACACATATCAAATGCTCATTTTGGACTACCCTTTCTAACGTGGAATGAGTCAATGAATTGTTCACTGAATAAGTCGGACAGTTTCACCTACGTCAAACTTCTGAGGGTGATAGCAATGAACAGTTTTGAACACAGGTATGGTAGCTTTGCCTTCAAGAGGTCATTGCCATAGGAGTAAGTCTGACAAATGATAGTGATAGAAATGAAAATTCTTGAACACACGTATGGTAGCTTTGCCTTCAAGAGTTCATTGCCATAGGGGCAAGTCTCACAGCTCATGCTACATCTCAAGGACTTAGATTCACAGAGGGATGGGCTGGTGCTTTGGTGACTGGTCCTTTTAAACGCAACCCACGTGATAGTCGGCCTATCAATCAGATCCCCTTCACGTTTTTATATACTTTGCCTATTTCCAGTCAGGCATTCTATATAATGGCTGGTCAATGATTACTATGTCTTATATATTTCACACTTTGACTCAAATCGTCTATAGAGTTCCTGTTTTTCCACACCTTACGCGAAAAAATAATTATACTATTTCGGCCGAAATTATTATTTGTTGCACCAATGCGCAGTAGACTAAATCCTTCAATAACATGAAAGCTTTGCTGAAGAGATCCGAATTACTTTCATCTTGAACATCCAGCACTTCGGGCGAATAAAATAATGATGAGATGTTGTTTTTTTCCTCGCTGTCATTCCCTAGAGACGCTTTCATCGGCCACGACGGTAAGACGAGGGAGTTATTCGGTCCGTGGGCCTACAAGAAGTCAGGATCGTTCTACGCCATCGATACGGCGGGTCTGACGTCAGCGTATGTTGACCAAGATTGGTTTGTCCAGGCCAAGTCAAGGTTTGCCACAAATGTATCCGGTGTCAAGACGTTCAAACTCAGGGCGTATCTAAGGTAAACGTGCTGCTGCGCTGCTGCGCTGCTGCTCTATGTGTGTGTGTTGACACGCTGTCTAGAGAATAAAAACATGGGGTGGATATGTTGTTTACGGAAATCTGTATATGGGAAGTACGTTGTTCAAAAAAATAACAACATACATTGAGATTAGTGTTTTTGTGGTAATGCATGTATTGATATGAAATCTTAAAAAAATGTATACAGTTTTAAACAATAACAGCAATCGTCGTCTGCTAACATAGCTGCATCCAAGAGAGCTGTGAGAAGTACACGCGCAGCATTTACTTTCTATGATAATTTAACTTAATTGGGAACCAGTACTAAGTTATATCTTAAACTATTGAGAAATTCTGTTTTTTTTAAAACTTTGTATACGTATAAATAAACCGTATACCGATAGAGAAGGCTCGAGAACTTTGGAGTCATCAAAACAGACACAGAAAGAAGTGACAAGATAGACGAATTTAAGGTCACACAGGGGGTTTAAAATTATGGTTTAAAAAGGTTTACTTGGAAATAGGAGGAGAATGGTTTGGGGGGGGGGGTAAATTTAGGGATTTGTGAATGATGGTTTGCTTAAGGGGTACACTGATAGGTCGCGGGTAAGGAAGTGATGAGACAGGCCAAACCCGTACATGGGCTGTAGCGCCACATGATGGAAGAGGTGAACAGGTTTTTAACACAATCCGGTCAAACGGCTATTGTGATGTACTATTTGCCGCCTGATAGGTCAGACATAGAGGGTACCAGTACGTCACGGCACGAGAACTTCCCCTTGATATACCGGGCAGCGACCTACGAACTGGGCTTCTGGACAAGTCCTCACTTCCGCTGCGACGGGAAAGTGGACCAGTGGGTGATGACGTACGTTAGTCCGTTTTTCGGAGTGGACTCCATGGGAACAAAACTTGTGTTCAGGTGAGACAAACGCGCGATGCTCAGGTGAGACGAAGTTGTGAGTTTGGGTGAGATGAAGGTGTGCTGAAGATATTAGATATGCGTTAGGGTGTGTTCCGTAGCACTTTCACAGGTCATTCTAGTCATTTATTTGATTAATAGATGCCTCCGCCAAGAACTGCAAAAAACTGATAAATCGTCCAGTAACAGATTGTGCCACCAATAACTGGTGCCACAGATTCTTTGTTTAAATTGATTGGTTTCGCTGACGCTAATGGATCCTTATAAGATTACCTCCTTCTGTTAGTTAGTACTGTATAAAATAATGGGGGTGGGGAGGGGGTGGTATTGACTTCCATTTGCTCAGCGTTGCGCCAGCACTGTTTGTTTTCATTTACTTCCAGGGGCGTCACCACTGTAGATGTCCCCCTAAACCTCCTGGAAATTAATCAGTGCCCACAAGATTTCCGGGTGGCGAACGCTTTTAAAAACACGGCGAGGTGTGATTATTTTTCTACAACAGTAAGTGCCGGTCAACGCCATTGCACCTACAGGGTTATATCATAGATGTCTGTTGAAATGTATGGACTCTGTGCAACTGAATCACCATAAATCAGTGGCTCACCAAATGGTCCATTTATCCATCCATTCTTCCATCCATCCATCCATCCATCCATCCATCTATCTCCCCCTCTTTCTCTCTCTTTCTAACTCTCCCTCCTCTCTATCTTTCTTTCTTCCCCCTTTCTTCTCCTCTCTCACACGCTCTCTCTCCCTCTCTCTCATACACACTCTCTTTCTTACTATTTTTCTACCTTCTCTCTCTCTCTCCTTTATCTGTCTTTTCATCTCATTCTACTTAAAGGATCCCCCATTTCAATGTTATCACCAGTGTTCTCCGCTAGAGGGCTTCCCATTCACGCGAGGTTCCTATACCTGCAAATGTCGCCTAGGATTTGAATACTGGCACCTGGACGGCAAGGAGTGGTTCGAAGGTTCATTTCTAGAACTTGAGTATGAGAAGAAGAAGGCGGGAATCTTCAGCAGGTTGGTGCACTTCAAACATCACATCAATGACATGTGCACTTCAAACATCACATGAATATCACGTGCACTTCAAGCATCACATGAATGTTACGTGTACTTCAAACATCACATCAATGCCACGTGCATTTTCAAACACCACATCAATGACACGTGCATTTTCAAACATCACATCAATGACACGTGCATTTTCAAACATCACATCAATGACACGTGCATTTTCAAACATCAAATTAATGACACGTGCATTTTCAAACATCAAACTAATGACACGAGCATTTCAAACATCACATCAATGACACGGGTGGACTTCGAATTTGATGTGTCTGGACCCTAATCTTGACACCTTAATGCCGTAAATACTCACTAGGCTAGTCCTAAACTCTCCATAGTCAACCCCCCCTCCCCCGCTCTATGGACTTACCACCACATCTACACTATCAAAACAAGAACATTTACCTGAAACGACTATTAAATTATCTGGATTACCGAAACCACATTGCTCGGGTAAAATACGGGAAAAGGATGGATAATCTATAAAAGTAAAGCCAGATGTGCTTCACCAATGTTTAGTTGTATTGACTCTGTAAAGATGCATTTGTTTGCGTACGTGATTAAACGCACGACGGGGAAAGCAGCGAATGAGAGCGCAGCAAGTTGCGCAATGAGTGCGGATGCGGACAAGATCCACTCGGAAACTACAAGATGTTTGGTAATTTAACTGTTAATGTTTATGAAATTTCAGATGATCTTTTTCAGCTTACGCCACGAAGATACATTCATTGAGGTTTTTATGAATTGATAAAATTAATCTGCGGTGGTATCCATCCATAAGGGCAAATACATTTCTTTTCTGGTTACGTTGAATATCTATGTTATTATGTATGTATGCTTAAAATCATTTCAGGTTTGACCACTTGCACTGCCGTCCATCCCCAGCAATGTCCTTGGTGATCAGTTGGATGACCTTGACGCTAGCTCTAGCGATGCAAGCCCTGAATTCAACAGTAATGCTTTAGCTAGCCACTTAAACTTTGTTTTTTTTACCTTTAAATATGTTGTACTAAACTGAAGCTATTGATTACTAAACTGAAGCTATTGATTACTAAACTGAAGCTATTGATTACTAAACTGAAGCTATTGATTACTAAACTGAAGCTATTGATTACTAAACTGAAGCTATTGATTACTAAACTGAAGCTATTGATTACTAAACTGAAGCTATTGATTACTAAACTGAAACTATTGATTACTAAACTGAAGCTATTGATTACTAAACTGAAGCTATTGATTGAGTTTTAGCGATTAGTATTTTTTCTCTAATTTCAGTTTAGCTGTACACTATTACTTCAGCTATTATTTTAGCTATAAGCTATAGCTTAAATTTCTAGCCATTTGTTTCAGATGATGATCACAACAACATCTTCATGAGACAGATTCACTCATGGAATGTCGTAGCAATGAAATTAAATCAAGTTTGTGTTGAATGGATCAATAAAACATTTGTGTGCTCATGGCCCTAGCCAAAAATTGAATCCCGAAGTCTTAGCTACAAAGGTTACATCATGTGCCGCACATACAAACAATGTAGTCTTAACCGATCTGATGTCAAGAAAGGTTTGCTGTCAATCTTCAACATCGACATAATATTTTACAGTGCTTAACTTAAACATCGCCCCCCCCCCAAACCAAATATCCTCTCAACTCTCCCAATCGAAAAAAAAAAATTAATAAATATTGACATTTGACCTTTTATTACACTTGATTGGGCGTTTATTGTTTGCACTGATTAAAGAAATAGGTCTGTTTTTGCTACATAGTATTTGAACCGTAATTTCTTTGTTCCTGCGTAAAATAGACCTAAAATTCTGTACAATGCTTATAGCCTGTCGACAGATTTCATTCTTTTGAAGTTTCGCAGACGCTCGATCTACCCACCGCAGAAATATAAAGGGATGCAACCAATGGGATGGGGTTAAAATGTCAAAGCCTCGAGGCGACAAGGGCATTTACAATTCCCGTCATAATAATAACAAACATTTAGCCCACCCAGCCACCCTTGTTGTTGTCGTTCGTCCTTCACATGCGGAGATGACCGAGGCCATGTTCGATGGTGAGTAAGTAGGTCGCTTGCCAGTCCTATATGTGGCCGGAAAGTTTCCCTCTTGCAGGACACAGGTGTTTAGGGGTCCTAGTGGTATAAGAGGCAATTCTGCTTTTCCTTGTCGGGCGTTTTCTCAGGGCGTTAGCGGTACGATTAATCTCTGAAGAGTGTGCTCTTACAGTGAAGTCTGCGTCACCAGCTTGTGTGATCCCAAACAAGTATTTTCCCATGAGTACACTTTTATGTCTTTGGAATTGAGTAACCCCCCCCCCCCCCCCCCTTTTTTTTTTTTTTTAATTTTTTCCCCCCCCCCCCCCCTTTTTTTTTTTTTTTCTAAAATTTTATTCTTAATGTGTGGAAATTTCACAGTACATAATTGTTAGAGCTGCTTTGCATTATCGCAAATGTTAATCCTATTTGACTTGTCCGTCTTGTAAGAACGTATGAACCCTGGCAATGACAGCCCGTTGTAGGACTTCTGTACTATTGACTTTATCCTGGCAACGCACGCCTTGTATAATATATAAACTCTTTAGCGGTGTCGGAAGGTCTTCCCACTGGTCTGTCCCAAACGAATTTTCTATGGTGAGCTTGAACAAGGAAAGCGATCTGCTGGTGGACAGAAAAAACGCTTTAAAGACACCATAAAAGCCTAACTGAAAGCGTTCAACATAAACCCAGACACGTGGGAGGAACAAGCAAAGGATCGAACTTCATGGCGTTCCACTTTGCATAGGAGCTCCATGCAGCATGAAGTTGGCAGAACAGCGGCTGCAGAGTGCAGTGCAATAGACATGCCAGGAAGGCCCGACCTGACTCTGCTCCCGGAGATGCACCATCATTCCCCTGCACATACTGCAAAAGAGAATTTCGTGCCAGAATCGGCCTCATGAGCCATCTTCGCACCCACAGACAGAACCAGCACAAACTCTGTTGATTAAAGTGGTCATGGTCGACCCCAGACTGACGAACAACATGTCGGAGATAGGGGGATCATTACCTACTCAGTTTATATAGACCCCATTTTTTAAAATTTCTCATTATATTTTTACCTAAAAATGTTAAGTCTATCAAAATTTTCTGAATTAAAATCCCCGCTCATTGGTTTTTGCTCCTAAGAAAATCCGTTTTAAAAAAAAATCCTTTATAGTAACTTCGCTTTTGTCCGCGTATTTGTGGCGTAATCTTCGAGATGCTTCATGACCCACTTTCCGTCATCCTATCGAGCTGAAACTTGGCACATAGACTCGTTGCCAACGACGCAACATTCTGTCAAATTTTGACACCACCCCATCACAGACCTGCTAAAATCACTTGTTCCTATAGTCAATAGGAATGAAAAAATGATTGATTCAATGGCTGCGTGTTTTCGTGTGCAGTTTAATTGCCTGGCTTCTTGCCGTGTGTTTTTTATTTGTGGCGTATTTGGGTTTAAATATATCTTTAGTCTTTTGGCTTTCACATGCAATGAGTTTGATCAAAAACCATTCCCTTTCCAAAAAATCAGTTGCTGAAGTCACATAAATGATTAATCCACGTGCAATTACAACCAAAAATACATATAAAGGATTTATAGGAAAAACTTTGTTTTTTTAAGGGGTTGTTAAATTAAAAATGTGTTGCCTATTTATTGTTTAAAATTACACTTTGAATTTGGCCGTCTTTGCATACTACTGGAAAACATTAGGTTAATAAGGGGAGAGACTGCAATCAGGTTAGCAAAATAGGAAACGAGGTGAAAACTGAAAAAAGGAACGCAACAAAATAACGGACTTGTCGACAGGAAGCCTTCGTCAGCGAACAAAAAAATCATTAAAAAAACACCGAATTAAAATAAAAAAATAGCACTTAGCTGAGAAGCAGTATCCAAGAGAGCAAGAAAAGAATTGTGACAAAAAAGAAGTGGGTGAAAGATCAAATAGGAAAAAGGGAAAGAAAAGAGGATAATTTAGTCCACTGCGATAGGTCGTGACGTGGAGGGGCGGAGCTAGCCTCAAGCTGTGAATAGAGACATGACGTTCATGCCATGTGGTGTCAAAGTGTCATAGGTCAGGAAAAGTTTGCGTTCCGAACTCACGCAGCATGGGCGTGTTTGTGCTAGTCACGATCGCACTTATTTCTAAAGTCCGCCTTGCCCTGGTGTTCGCCTCTATTGAAGTGTTTAGAGACGGGACACTGTTTATCTTGCGTAATATATATATCGTAGGTGTTCGGTACACCTGTCAGAGAGTCGGCGTCCTATCTCCCCTATGTACGACATCTGGCAGCGGGTGCAATCAGTGACGTAGACAACACTGCGGCTAGCACAAGGGAAACCGTTGCGTATGTGACAACTGCCCTTTGGGAAAGTCATGTCTCGAGTCTGGACGTCAATGGGGCAAGTATTGCAAGGGCTGCGTCCAAAGGGCTTTGTCCTAAAATGGAAGGGGTAGCCTTGATGTGACTGCGACTGGGAAACATTATTTGGCCTTGTCTAACGTCCTGATATAACTTGCTAGAATGCAAGAAGAACTATATTAATATATTCAAAAAGAATGAAATATGGTGAAAAAGGAGGGCTGCGGAAAGAAAGGAGAAACGTGTGCGTGTGTGTGTGGGGGGGGGGGGAGGGTTTGTGACATCTAGCTAAATGAGATAAATGCTGCTCCAGTGTCAGCGTCTAACAGACGGCCGGATGCCCAACAAATTTTTTTAATGATATTGGCGAGGGAATGTTAGAACAGACAGGGCGAGAAGGGGAGATGGACGGAGAGAGAGAGAGAGGGGGTTGAGAGAGTTGGGGAAAGAGAGGTGGAGAAAGAGGTAGAGAGAGAGAGGGGATGAAGAGAGGGGAGAGAGATAGGGGAAGAGAGAGGGAGAGAGAGAGGGGAGCAGGAGGTGGAGGGAGGAGACAGGAAGGGGAG